CTTTTCCTTTAGCCAATGGAGATGAATTCATGCATGAAAGTCCAGGAGGCAAAGTGGAGGACAGGGAAGAGGAGTGGTTGTAATTTGCAACTCACATTGACTAACCCAGCACAAAAAGAAATGGGAACCTTTTCTGGTCTAGAGGTGTAATCCATACTTGCCATATCTCCCAGAATGTAATGTAATGCACGGGGTGTTGAAGTTCATTCTACATGTTCCCCAGGAATTATTTTTCCTCCAGCAGTAGTTCTAATCCCTATAAATTAAATAAGTAAGTCAATTGAATCCAACTGAAATCCTAACAAGTATCCTAATTTGATAAGATGGGGGGTAGTTTGGAGCATGTTGAAATTACCATTGACTCAGTAGAGCCAGTGCTTTATTTGCCATTGCTGTAGTTCTCTTCAAGTTGTTCTGCAAAACATCCCATTGCCTCCTAGATTTTATATGTTTTTAGTGACAAAATAGGAATATGAAACAAAAAAAAAGAATAAAAGTACAGAGAAGATTCTAGTGTTGTTTTTTCTCTCTGTGCTTTCCCTTGTTTCCCTTTCCTCTTCATTTGCTTACCCTCCTGGGCTTAACTCACATCACAGCTCCCTGTGAGATGCTGCTTGTAGGGGACAGCTGAGTGCTGTGCTGTTCTAATTGGGAGAGAGGTACTAAACTGTGCTCTCTTCAGTCATATATGCAATGCCTCAACTACAATGGGGGGTAAAAAACCCCCAACAGTTTAGAAATGGCAGTGCAGGGAAGCCTGAGTTTAAAAATGGAAAATGTTTTATGCTATACACAATCTCTTTAGATCCATGTAGAATCTAAAGACTGCAGGATGAGATTCAGAGCTAACGCTCATTTAGATGTATGAAAAGCAGAGCAACACTGTTCTTCCAGCAAAGCCACACTCAGCTCTACTTTTCAAGCATTTTATTGCATCATTATCACTGTCTTTATTTTAGTGCCATCTCTGAAAAACAGATCTTTCACTTTCTTACCAGTCCTGTCTACTGGAGTTGCATGGATACCAAATCAATATTAATGCTCTTTCCCTGCCAAACATGAAATCACAGCTTCTGCTGTCACTAAGAGCTGTACATTCAAGTGAACCTGGGACAGAACTGCAGTGCCAGCTCACCAGCTGATCACAGCCTTGTGGAGTGGGCTTCAAGACTTACTGAGCCAGCTGCCAGGGATAGCCCACAGTAACATAACTCTATTGATAGCATTCTTAAACTTGTCATTTCGTGTGGGATCTGAAATCCTGACACACTGTCAGAGCATGCATAGTGTGTCTAGAAGCCATAAAATAAATGTGATGCCATGTGGCAATTAACATCACTGGTGCTTCAAAACACAGAGCTGGTGGGGAGACTTGCCTGTGGGGTTTTGTGGGAACACACTATACATGATGCAAAGGAAGTTCAAAAGAATAGATGGATAAGGTTTTGTTTAGCTATAAAGCACAAACTGAAATTACTGACAACTAGATCTCTATATTAATGGCACTCCTATTTTTTGACATGGAGATAATTTGCCCCAAGCTTTTAGATCCAGAGTGACAGCAAGCTGCTATGAATCCAGCAATGCTTTTCTTCAGCCTTTAGTAGTTACTGCATTTTTTTCATGCATTGGAAAGAATGATGTCTGTGTCCCCTTGTTAGGTGTTATGAAATAAGCCTCCCTTCTAAGGTTTTACTGGTGTAATTTTACTCTGCAAGTTCTGAGGAAGGCAGAAGTAGCTGAAGGCCATTGTAAGGCTAGTGATGCCTCCAGTTCTGCAGAAGCAGCCCAGCCTGTTTCATCCAGTGAAACTCTCTCACTTGAAGCCTACTTAGAGGACACTGAAATAGACTTTTCACATTTATTCTTGAAAATATTCAGATTGACAGCTAATAAGTAGCGTACACCTGCTGATAGGACTGTTCCAAATAGCAGAAGATCAGCTCAGAGAAACCCAGTAATGAGGAATTTCCTTCAGATGGAGCTCTGTGCAAACCTGCTCTAATAGAGAAGGACATATTGTAAGGGGAAAGTTTAATCCATTCTGAAAAACTCAAAGCTGTATTCAATACATGTGATCCTCTGAGCTTAATCTTGGCTCTCTAGGGCTCTAGTTATCTGGGTTTTGCAAGGTGTTGTTGAGTCTACATTTTCACAGTAGGCTCAAGTAAACCTGGATATTTTATTTTTTGCATTAAAATATTATGCTTTTCACTTGGGCAATTGATTGTATTGACCATCACTTTGGCTACATTCATAGCTACTTATTCAGATAGAAATAATGAAACATACTTTTTCAGTGTCCCACCATGACTTAAAATTACAAAATAAAAAACTAGAAGGTGGTGCAGGGATCCAAGACAGTGAAATGATAAAGGAGTTACTTTTAAAGATCTGTTTTTCCTCTCAGTTTTATTTATAACTGCTGCAGGGGGCCAACCACTTTCTTTCAAACTGCATACTCAGAGGGTCTGCTCACATGGCAGTTTTATGAGCAGAGCTTGTGCCAATCAGACACAAGACCCAGGAAATACAACCCTGGCCATTCTGCTCTTTCCCACTGCATGGAATAGCTGTTGCATCTGTTTCTCTCTGGGATTTTTGGTTTTGGTAAAGAGAAAAGAATTTGAACAGGCCACCTGCAGATGAGAGTAGAGTTACTGTTTTCTTAGTCTGTTTGCAGCCTGAGGGCAGAGGGCAGGCACAGAATTCTCCTGTGGCAGATTGAATACAAGCATAACTTTAATTAAATAAGACAAAATACCATGCTAATATGGAAACTGTAGTCTATTTATATGCACGAGTCTTTTTTCATATCTTCCTCCATTTATTTGCTAGAATAATGGGGAAATATTGTTTGTGACTGGATCTTTTATCATTTGAAGAATAACTGTTGTATGTGTCAGAGCAGTTGCAATCTGATTTTCATGGGTGTGGAGAGTCAAGCTCAGTCTTTGTCTTCCCCTCTGCCATTCTAGTAGTGATCACTTCTGGGCCAGAGAAGAACAAATGATTAGCAAGATATCAGAAGTGGCGATAACTGGGAAATGGCTGGTGTTAGTTTATCCTATAATGAGATAAACTTAATTAATGGATGAATGGCTATGTTTTCCTTTTTTTCCCTATGAAAATATGAAGCATAAAGAATCAGCTAACATAGCAAGAAGATGTGCTACCTTGGATACAGTCTGTAAAAAATATGAAAAATACTTTTTCTTATATATATAAACCTGAAAAAATATTCCAAAGCTAAATGAACACTCAATTTTGAGTATTGTAAACTTGCTGAATCTTTCTGAAGTTGAGGAATAGGAGTGAGATAATTTACAGTAATGCTTAAAACGTGTGTGTGTGTGTGTGTAAGCATTAGCTGGAATGGGATCAATCTAGTTCACTCTCCCGGTGTTTTCTATTTTTCCTGCTATTTTCTATGCCCCTGAATATTTGTATGTTCACATTCTCTGGGCTTCATGATTTGTTGTTCCTAGGTCTCAGTCACTGTAGCTCAGACATTGATCTACAGGTTAAGGGAGGGGATTTCTCCCCCTACTCTGTTCTTGTGAGTGCTGGCTCCAGTTCTGCCGTCTTCATCCAGGGCAAAACATGAAATGTTGGAGGGTCCAGAGGAAGGGAAAAAAGAGTGGTCAGAGGGATGGAACAACTCTCCTATGAAGAGAATTGGAGGGAGCTGGTGTTATTCAGCTTGGACAGAGAAGGTTCAAGGGAGACCTTATAGCAGCCTTTCAATACCTAAAGAGTACAAGAAAGATGGAGAAAGAATTTTATCGAAGTCTGTAGTGACAAGACAAGGGATTATGCTTTTGAACTGAAAGAGGCTAGATATAGATTGCACATGAGGAAGGAATTTTTGAGGTGAGGGTGTTGAGACACTGGAATGGGTTGCCCAGAGAAGTTGTACATGGAAGTGTTCAGGAACAGATTGGAAGGGGCTCTGAAAAACCTGACTTAATTATAGATGTCCCTGCCCAGGTTGGACTAGATAATCTTTAAAGAACCCTTCAAACCCAAACTACTCTGTGACTCTATGATTCTATATTTGGGCAATGCTATAGATGCTGAAGCTCAGCATGGTTCATTTCAGGAAATGGAAATGGATGACAAAAAGCCTCTTTCAGTCAAATTAGGGTGAAGTGGTGTCTCAAGAAGATGTTTTGCTCTTTAATCACCCCAATCCACCACCTTACACAATCAAGTGCATTACAGCCAAAACATGAAAATAAACAATCAGTGCAATGTACTGCCTTCAGCTGCCATGATTTTCTATACATTAATACTGATATTGAGGACATCAGATTGCAACAAAAGTCGCCAGAAAAAAATAAGACCCCAGCTTTTCTATCATAAACAGTCTATGGATAACTCCATCTCCACTACCTAGCCCTGTTTTTTAGGTTATGATTACATACAGACATGCATGATTTCCATGTGATACATGATCCTTGAAATGCTGGAATTCTAAAATTTGTGGGCATTTCAGTATTGAATCTTTATTTTCTATCTGCAGCTTTTGCTGAAGTATAATGGAAACATTTATTTCTTCCTAGTTTGAAAACAAACCAACTGTAAATTGTGAGACAGAAAACAATCCACTCTCTTGTGTAAACTGAGAAAGTTGAAAAGAACAAACCATGATTTTCTCCAGTCAATCCACTTCCATACTAAGGATATAATATGAATAGATAATAGCATGAATAAATTCTTTTGAACTGAATTTGAAGGAATTAAACCTGTCCTCTTTGCAACTTTTCACTGGTAATTTGTAGTTTTATTAAGATGCTGTAATAATTGTGATACGCTGTGCTATCTTCAGGAGCGAGTTATTTCAAGCATAGTATGCTGTATTTTTAACCGAAACTGTAATTTAACTTCTGTCTTCAATGTTACTTTTAGAATTTCTTATATTCTACACAAATATCACTTGATAATATTAGTTTATGGGTTTTTTTTTATTTCCCCCCTTTTATTTTTTTTAAACCAAGGCTTTGAATTCTGCAAGTCATTTGGAGAGAAAAGGATGACTACTGCTCTGGGTGTTCCTGCTCCAGTAGTGCATGGAAAGATCAATTTGGGCATTAAGCTTTAGCTTTTACCCTCTTACAAGCCTGCCAAGCAGTAAGTACTATTATGCCAGGAACTTTCAGCTTCATTAAAACTTCAGTATGTTATCAGAAATTCATGTGTTTGGCAGACACACTGAAGGAATCCATATTCCTTACTTGGAGAAAATATTATTTTTTTTTTCATTAAGTTAGTTGTATACATTCTTCAATAAGTTAATTTTAAAATTTTTGCATAATTTCCTCAAAATTTGTAAAATTTTGTGTATTTCCTCAAAACGTTGTAAACATTTCATTTTTAAAAATGAAAAAAAAATCAACTCTCAATTGCAATTTGGTCTAAAATTCAACAACATAATATTGATAATAGTTTAATACTAAGCTGTCTTTGTAGATCAGCATCTTTGATTCACTTTAAATTCAGTAGATAATGTTTACAATGGCGAGGCATAATTTTTTCCCCAGTTTTCCTCTTGATTTGAATTTGAATAGTTTTCTAATTGGATATGGTTTAACACAGAATTAATTCCTTTTTTTTTTCCTCCCCAGAAAGTAGACAAGTTACACAGTACCTGCTTAAGCTGCTACCTGCTTCTAGAGCAAAATTCCGATGACAGGAATGAATCCATTAAGTGCAAAAGAGCTGAACAGACTTAGAGCAGCCTCCAAAGAAAGGTTAACTTTGGGTTCACTGTGCAAGCTAAAAGGAAAATTGCTGCTGCTGCTAACATTTAAAATAAGCACACTGAAAAATTTTATTCTTGCACTTAAATATTTTTCTGAAAATTTTCTCATTTTGCTTAAAAAGTATAACAACTCTTTGTTGTTTTCTCTTTCTGAAACTGAATGTCCATCACCTGTGGACAAAGATTCTTACTGATAAATAAGTGGTGAAGTAGAAAGCAGAGATACATGAGATTGTGGCCTGAGGGAATTCTCTGATCCTAAAGCAGCAACAGTGTTAGTGAAGAGAACTATGGGAGAAAATTCCCCCAGAACTTAAGGCTCTGGTGAAATTCATCCCAGGGATTTGAATGAGAAAACATTCTGCATTAATACTGAAGCTCTTTTCCATTCTGACCAAAGCCAGAAATCACTTCTTTGGCATCCTGAATGGAGAGGTCAGCTCACCTGGCCAAGTTGCTGTGACTGATAATGTGCAATGCTGAGAACAAACCATTGGACAACACTGGCAAAACTGTGAATTTTCCCTTGTGTTTTTAGCACTGCTTGGGTCAGAGCAGTCCCAAGGTAGAATGTGATTTTCATCTTCAGTAAGTTTATCACTCTTCTCCTGTTAGCAACCACTTTATGAACTGACCATGGACTCACACCCACACAAGTAGCACTGAGCAACAAGCCACAGTAGGAATAGAAATGCCAAACCATCATGGGCTGCTTTGGATGGAGGCTCTGCAGCTCCTTCAGATTCTCAGACTGTTTAAACATAGCCCATATGATGCTATGTACCTGGGAACATGCCCAGAACACAATCATTCTGTACTAAGCATGGGTTTATAGGATCTCTACAGGGAGACGTGCAACTACATGAGTATTTTAGTTTGGTTCCTTACGCTTCTGAAGCTAATATCCACACTGCCCATGCTTGCCTCCACGTGATTTGTACTATTGAGTGGTTTCAGAGTGCTTGCAGGACATTTAGTTGGATGAAAATAACCTACTCTGAGAAAGCACCAAATGAGTGTTAACTGCAAATGGGAAATGAGCCCACAGGATCAAACAGGAGCCAGTCTAAAGGAGGCATGTATGACTCTCACTTGCCTTTGATCCCCCATGCCAGCAGTTTCATTCTACAGATCCACTCCTTTCATCCTTCCACCAGTTTGTGCACAGAACAGGAAACAAGAATAAGGCTACAGCCTACTCCCCCTTCATTCTTCACTTTAAAAGCAAGAAATTTATGAGAAAGCACCAAAAAGTGGCTTATACTTAGCTACTGACACAGAGACCAAAGAAACATAGACAATAATTCTGGACTGAACTTTTTTTCAGAGACCAAAAAAGTTAATAGATCTAAAAGTAAATATTTCAATGGATGCCTCCTTTCAAAGATATGCAGTGTCGACAGAATGTAATTATGTGCAACTGCTGCTTTTTTCTTTTCAAGGAACAGTATAAATCAGAGTAATTTGTGTTTGATTTTTAAAGAGCATACTGTAGATTTGGGCATGAATCAAGAAGAATGCACTGGCTGAACTCTTTAGCTCTTTTCATTTGTTTGCATCGATTTTTCCATGATTGTGAGTGTTTTTCTATTGTATAGAGAAAACAATATGGGAGACATCTGGTGGCCATTAATTAACTGAAACTCTAATTTATTGTATTAGTTGGTTGATCTACTAAACTTACAAATGAGCAACTACAATTTTAAAATTCAGGATAATGTATCACAATTCCACCCGTAATTTATTTGCTACTAAGTTTTAATTATTTATGCCTATTCATGGTGTACTGGTCAAGTGCAAAGAACTGTTGTAACTGCAAATGCATCAGGTTTACATTACCAAAAGCTAAGTTCTGAACTTTGGAGAACTTTGGAGACAAATTAGGACCTTGACCAGACAACTCAGAACTATCTCTACTTAACTACTTTCAACATATATTTTTAATTAATATAAAAATATTTATTTTACCTAAAATTATTTATTTATTCATACATCTTCTTTTGTTTATATGCATGATTGATGGGAAGAGGAAACAGCACATAAAGGAATCAGTTGATGCTACATCATTTCAATTACTAAAATAAGCACTTATAATAAATAAAAATGTCAATTTTCTAACTGTTCTCTAGCTTGGCATCTTCATATCTGTGTGTATGCATGTGAGTGTGTAATGATATATTTATTCATTTTTTCCTTTTGCTCAGATATTATGGCATCTCACTTCATTCTTTAACAAGGAAAGTAGGATGTTAAAATGACTAACTCTTCAGGAAAGATCTTTTTCCTCTTCAAAACACAAAAGTACTGTCTTTTTTCTCACCCCATTTCTTGGGAAAACACTGAATAATAGATGCTATCACATTCAGAAAAATCGATGTGTCCATGACAGACAAAGAAAGAAGTGCAGTTCATTTTCTAACATTTAGAAGTCATAGTCAGGGTTTTTAGCAGAGGTGCTGCTGTACTGCCCTGACTGCCCCCTGCTTAGGGCAGTGTGGCTCAAAACCTGCATCCAAAACTGTCCTCCAACATCAAAGTAAGAGTGTGGCCTCAGGAGAAGGAATGGTAGCTGCAACTTTGCTTTTGAGGACCACAGTAATATGGTATCTTCCATTCATGGGAGGGGAAGAGAAGGAGAGAGAGAAATCAAATATTTCTGGGAAAGCTTCTAGCTCTCTCTCTCAAATGCCATAACTTGTTCAGCTTCACCCATGTCCACACTGCGTTGGTGGCATCCACTCAAGGCCCCTGGAAGACAAAGTCTGACTTGGGAGTGTGGTCATGAATTTCCGTGGCAGTTCTGGACGTGTCCCTGCCCGGCTGGAGCTGTGTGGTGCCGGTGGCTGGCCCTGGACAGGCGGGCAGAGCAGCTCACACAGGAGTTCTGCCACAAGTCCTTTTCCAGAAGCAGAGATGGGCAATGTGTCACTGCCCTTGGCTTCTGAAGGAGAAATATCGGCGTTCCAGGGGGCTTGCAAATCACATTGAGGCTTGAAACCATTCTGAGGTGAGCGCTTGATGCTGTTGAGGCAGGACGGTATGAAATGACTCCACATCAGGAGGTTTAAGAGTAGAACTCTAATTTATTTCAAATACTTCTCTCTTTTATCATGCTGACCTATTCTATTGGTCCCAAAGTAAAAACATCTCATCCCATTGGTATGCAGTGAATTATGCACAGTGGCAGAACTTATCTATAAACAAAGTGAACAACAAGAGAGATAAAGAATTATTTACATTCTTTCTCAACAGTTTCTCAGGCTTCTGCCTGATTAGAAACCTTCATTTTCTCTCTGACTGAACTGAGAATACCCACAAATGCTTAACAGGAAGTAAGATGCAGTCATAATTTTAATTATCTGGTACATTAGTGACTACTTGCATTTTGAAAGTTTTCTTTACAAGACAGATTAGACCTAAACATACATATCCATACCTTCCTACCTATAGAATTTATGGACACAAATTTGAAATGTTTAGCTTTTATGATTTGTTTTCCAAAAAGAACTATCAGAACTTCAGTAAAAACAATGTTTCTTTTACACATGATGATTCTAAGCATTGAAAGGAAAATTTATATTTGTGTGCATGATGTTTCCTGATTTTAAGGGAACTTTTTTGATACAGAATTTTAGGCTGAAAAAATTGCTTCTGGAAGCCCAAGTATACATTGAAAATTCAGCTATTGACCTAAAAAAAGAAGTTAGCATGATTTTATTTTGTTTAGTATCATCTGTAGACCAGGTGGATTGTTTATTTCCCCAAAGCTAGTGAGATTTAATTTCTGCTAATGTTTTAATTTTTGCTGAGGTCTAGTATGTCAAGCTGTTGTGCCTGGTAATTCAATATATCGGTTTCACAAATGTTAATGTATTCACAATCATGTTTTCTTGTGCCCAGATCTAGCAGCCAAACTACCAGTCTATTCCCAATCTAATGTTATCTCAAATAGCATGGTACAAATGTTATAAAAAAAGGAAACCTACATCAAGCATTTTACATTGATTTTTACAAAGACTGTCAAAACATGTCATGATGTTATTGATGTCAGCATTTCTCTGAGGCTTTGAGTGTTTAATATGCATATTAAAAAATCCTTCTTCTTTGTGGTACTGGAGATGTCTGCCCAGTCAGTCCACTCACTTTTGTCTCAATTTTAAATATTTTGACAAAATTTTGCTCTTATGTTGTGATTCTGCTCCTTCACCTGTTCCTCATCAATGTGATTCTGGCTGCTGCTGTGAATGGGTTTATGAAAGGCAGGTCCTGCTTGACTGCCCTGATCTCCTTCCATGGTGAGATGCTCGCTTAATGAGTGGGAGAGAGGCTGTTGGGTTCTGATTCCCTGGAGTTTAGAAAGCCTTAGACA